TCCATAGCCAGCCTAGTGGGTGTGAGGAGTCCTCACAGTGTAATGATTTGCATTACACTGGGGAATAAATGTGATTTCGTCTTTATTGGCTATCTTCGGAAAAATGCTCATTCAAGTCCTTGGCTCTTTTTGAAAATTGTGTTGCTTGTCTTTTTTGCTGTTGAGTTGTAAGATTATTTTATATATTCTGGATAATAGGCCCTTATCAGGTAAATGATTTGTAAGTATTTTTGTTAAAGTTTTTGCTTTTGTCATAATTCTTGACCTTGGCTGTCCATGTGAGTCTTGCAACACACTGAGTGGAGATTTGAATGCAGAATCAGATATGAAGGAGACTCCCGTTTGTTAAGACACACATTGAAAAAGATTTTCAAAATGTAAATGCTCTTCTTACTAGTTTTTTGAAATGTTTTTAAATTTAAAATGTTACTTATGTTCAATAAGCTTATTACTGTATATAAATAAATTAACATTTAAATTTTTTTAATTTTTAATGTGATAGGTATTAATAGATATAAATAAGTATTCCTTGGGGTTCTCAATATTTTTAAGAATGTGAAGAGTTCCGAGTCCATAATGGAAGAAAACCACTGAGCTATACTAAAAAATGTCCATTATTTTAATAAACTGGCTTTCTTTCAGTCTTACTCTTTATCTTAAATGTTTACCTGACATTCTTAGATTAGGATTATTGTTGACGTAAATTCAATCCCTTAAGGTCAGGACTTATTAACTTAAAAATTTTAACGTAGTAGAGAAGTCCATAAATCCTTTAAATTGCATGTGTGTGCATTATCTCAGGGAAGTAACCGTGTGACTTTTATCAAATCTTCAGAAAGTTCATAACCCCAGACATTAACCTGTAGCCAGTCTTATGGTAGTAACAACATTAAAAGGCTATTAGGCCAAATCTTTCATTATTAGCAAAAAAGTTTCTGAAACATTAAATTGGAAGTTGAATACTCAGGGCAGATAATTTCTAAGGTTCACAACTGTGTATCTTAATTTGTATGTTATAGGCACTAAATCTCCCTTGCTCCCCACATGAAAGCAAAATAATATAAAAGACAGAAAAGGCATTCCTCCTCCTAGGTTCCTAGTTCAGTGAGAACACCCGCAGTGATAATGATTTTACTTTTATACATGAGCCTAGTTATCCTGACTCTTCTCCTCGCCTTCTGTTTACTTGGGGGCCATCCTCAGTAGTCCTCTTGAGGTGCTCAGATGTCACGATTCAGCTTAGATGTCACTGTCTTTGCAAGCTTTCCTTTATCTGTGCAACGGAACTATATTGTTCTTTACTTAATGTGAAATCCGAAGTTTACGAGTCTCAATTTTTAAAACTCCAAAGGCAATTTTGTGTGTGTGACATTATGTCCTTTATGTAAAAATCATTACTAAATTGATTTAGTAACTACTATGTACAGTACTACTATGGCTAACTCCCAGTTGTTTCTCTTTCAGAGCTCAGATTAAATGACACTTCCTGAGGAAGACCTTCTCTAACCCTTTGACTAGTTTAGGTCTTTTTATATTTCCCATAGCACCTTATGTTTCCCCAAATCTTCAGGTTACAGGACTGTCCTAGGGTATTGTTTCTGGACCCCAAGTTTGGTTGTGGAATCTGTGTTTTTATGGAGTACTCCAAGTGATTCCTATGCAAGCAAGTTTGAAGAAAGGTACTCTATTTCAAGATTCATGTGCTCCTTCACCCCCACCCCCACCGTGCTTTTGGAAGTTGCTTGTTACATGCCCAGCATGCTTCATAAGGGCACAGACTGGCCCACTTCTGTGTGCTCAGCACGTAGCACGTGGCTCAGCAGATAGAGGTCCAGTCATTATTGAATGACATAGTAAAGAATTATCTGCAGAAGGGGGTTCATTCCTGAAACTGGTAATGAAGTAGGTATATATTTAATATCATTAGGAACTTCCAAACACTTAAAATGTTAACAATTTGTATTCCCTCTAACAATGTATGGGTTTCATTTTGTTTACATCCTCACCAGTATTTGGTGATACCAGTTTGTTTGTTTTTGCCATTCTAGTGAGTGTGAAGGTGGTATCTTGGTGATTTAAATTTGCATTTCTCTGATGACTAGTGATGTTGAGCACTTTCTCACACACGTAAGAGTGTTGTGTGTGTGAAGTAAATGTCTAAGTATTTTATCAGATTTTTTCTTTATTGATTTTAGAGAGAGAGGAAGGGAGAAGGAGAGAGATAGAAACATCGATGAGAGAGAACATCAATTGCCTGCCTCCTGCATGCCCCGACTGGGGATCGGGCCCACAACCTGGGCATGTGCCCTGACTGGGAATCGAACTGGCAACCTCTTGGTGCAGGGTCGATGCTCAACCACTGAGCCACTCCAGCTGGGCAGATTATGTTTTCACAATTCTATTTGTGAGAGCTCTTTACAAAATCTGGATAGAGTCCTCTCTTGGATATATAAATTGTGAATATTTTCTCCCTGTGTTTGACTCCTCTCTTCACTTCCCAGTAGGATTTTTTGATGAGCAAAAGTTTTAAAACTTCACTGAAGTTCAAATTAACAACTTTTTATTAACACCTTTTTAAATTTTGTGTCAGAAATCTTTCCCTACCTCAAAGGCATGAATATATTTTATATTTTCTTTGAGAAGCTTTATAGGTTTGGTTTTCTCCTTCAGAAATATGACCCATGTCAGTTTGTTATTGTGTATGATGTGAGGTAGGAGCCCAGCGTTCCGGCGTTTCCTTCTGCTTGCAGAAGTCTGACTCCTTTAGCATCTGTTGAATATGCCTTACTACACCTTCCCTTCCACACTGCATGAAGTGGTGCCTTTCCCAGAACTCAAGCGGCCCTTTCTGGACTCCAGGACTTTGTTTCTTAACCTCTTAGTCTGTCATACTACACTGGCAGTACCGTAGCTTTATAAGGCTTAAAGTATGTCATCCAACTTCCTTCTAGATTGTTTTGGCTATTCTAGAGGTCCGCTGCATATCTGTATAAGTTACAATCAACTTGTCGACTTCTACCAAAAAAATTGTGTTGATTTATAGCTCAATTTGTAGACGATAGATTTTAACACTATTGAGTATCTTGATCCATGAACATGCCTGGCCCACCTTCCTGGACAGTGAAGTCCCATGTACACAGCCTGGACATCTCTGGGGTTTTCATGTTCTGGGGGCAGGGTAGAAGCAGTGTGACCCAGGGGAGGGGGGCAGAAGGCACTGTGCAAAGAGCCCATCACTAGGATGAGGTCCACCTGCCTGCCCTTCCTTCCACTCACAGAGGATCTGCTCAGTGTCGCCCACTTCTGACCGTTTACATTCTGACCTGGAGGCCTGATTTCATCCCCAGACTGAGGAGGCTGCGAAACAGGGAGAACGGAGCATTGGTGCCCTCTCCCAGGGCCAGGAAGACACGGAGCCTAGAGGTAAAGGGAAGCGGAGGCCTTCGGTGTGGAAAGTGGGAGCTTGCAACCTTCTCCCTGGCTTCTGGCGCCCACCCCCACCACCACCACAAGGGTTCCTGGACTGTTGGCCTCTGCACAGCATTGGGAGCTTTCTGAGACAGGAAATGGGGTTCGTCCTCCCCAAGCCCCCAGCGCAGCAGGTGGGCATCCACAGACCCTTTGGGGATCATCCTCAGACCCACCATGGCACAGAGAGTCCCTCTGACTCCTCCTCTCTGTCCGGCTGCAGGGCTGGCTCTGGGCACACAGTGGAGGAAGGTGGATTTCCAGACCCTTCTGCCTCCTAGTCCCCTTCTCTGCTGAACCACAGGTGTGGGTGCAGCACCCCAGAGGGCTCCTTCCTTCGCCAGCATGCTGCACCCCCCAGGTCATCTGACCATTGTCCCAGCCCTGGAGCTGCTCCCTTGGGTCAGCCGTGGCTGAGCTCCTGAGACAGGGTGAGGGTCCTGGCCGGCCCTGGCCTTGGCCCCTCACCAAGACACCTGCTCATAGACAGGCCGGGGTTGGTGCCGCGGGTCGTGGTGGTGCCTGCAGATGCTTCGCCAGGAGCAGCAGCATTGCCACAGGCTCCGCCCAGGCAGATGCCCTCCAGGGCGGGGCCAGGAAGGTCTCTGAGTGGGTGGAAGGAAAGGGTCTCTGCCTCCCCCCACCATGCTCTGCGCCCCCTGATGCCTCCCTGTCTCGGCCTCGGCCTCGGCCCACCACCTGGGCAGAGCTTCATTGGCCTTGCTGGGCAACACGGACCCTGACAAACCCAGGGGTGGCTGCTGAGAGCCCCAGGCCCAGCTCGAACGACTAGCTAGGCTTCCTCATGCGCAGCTGGGTTAGGGCAAGAAACCATTGTCTTACTTTGTTTGAACACTCTCAGTGAGTACGGTCCTGCAGTTAGTGATTTTAGTGACTTGATCCAGTGGTGCAGCCATCAAATCAAATGTTTCAGGACATTTTAATGCCTCCAGTTAGACCCCTTATGCCCATTATAGTTCACCCCTCTTCCCAAGCCCTACCCTAGGCAGCCACCGGTCTACTTTCTGTCTCTCTAGACTCGCTTTTTCTGTACATCCATTTCTATGGAATCATGAGGCATGTGACCTCTTGTCAGGCTTCTTTCTGTTGTTGAGGTTAATCCACAAGGTTCCATGTGTCAGTGGTCTGTTCTGTCCATTGCTGAAAAGTTGTGTGGATACACCATGTCACTGGTTTTTGTAAGTCTATAGATTTGGAAATGTTTTTGATTCAGGTTTTATTTTTTTTGGTGGCCTAATGTGTTGTGCTTTTTCTTTAATGTTCCTTGAAAATTGGATATGAGTATGTCTGGGGTGTTTAAATAATGCAATCTTATGTAGTTGTCAACTTAACTTTTTAAAAAGTTATTCTAATGTTCTATCAGTTTTGTGTGGCAGCCCTCTTATTTTAGAATCTTTTACTGTAATTGTCACTTTGTCAAATTCTTGTTTTTCTACTTTTTTTTTTAATGTAATTCTGTATATACCAATAGTTCAGTATCTGTACCTCTTCTAGAATCTACATCCTGAGAGATGCAGGCCCCTGCGGTGGCGGAGTCGGCGGCTGATGAGGACTACCACCGCCGTGGAGGCACCCAGAAAGGTGGGCACAGGCCAGCTGGCTTTATTCTGGGCGGAGAGATACGCAGTCTCACTGGGCTAGATAGTTCCCCTTCTGGTGTTGCTATTTTTTAAACTTTCATCCAGTAATGTAAGATGCAGCAAGATGTGACTTGGCAACCTCACTCAGGTGATTTTAGTGAATATGGGCAGCCTACACAGGACCTCTCAGGGAAGTGGAAGACGTAGGGAAGAGAAGGCGAACCAGAGAGAGAATGTCCGACCAGCCTTTGGGAGCTGCTGATAGGTACAGTTGTCTTAAGTGGAACGTGGGCAGGTTGACCTGCGCTACCCAAGTTGAATGTGATTTGTTTTCACACAAATCCGAAATTTCTTTTTCTCTGATATTGGTAGAGAAAAAAATAAGAAATAACAAGAGCATAAAAAGGAAGGTAACTAAAATGTATATGCTTGTGATTGTACGTGGTTTTAATTATTAGAAAAAAATGTAATGTTTTAAGTCAGAGGGAAGTAATGGATTATTCAGCAAATGGAATTAGTATAATTGACAATCCATTTTGGGAAAAATTAAGTTAGGTTCCTACCTCATGCTAGAGAAAAAATATATACATAGTGTAGAAAGGCTGTGTTGCGTACACACACAATACAGAAGAATACTTTTATAATCACGTGGTAGAGAAGGCCACAGAGACAAAACTCAGAAGTCAGAGAAGAAAGGACTGACTCATTTAAGAAAGCTTAAAAATCATAGTATGATATTATAAGAAGTAAAAGATAAGCAATAAACTAGGAAAAAGTCACATTAATAAGAAAAACAAAGAATTCACATCAAGAATATATAATGAACATGTGTACAAATTTCTATCAGCCCGTGAGTTCACCATTGAAGCTCACACCACTTTCCTTGGCTCCAGCCCCATATTTATAACAGCTTACAAGACCAGCAGCCTGCAGCCTTGGTCACCTCATGGCGCACAAACTAATATTACATTTTTTTGCTAGTCTGACATAAAAAATATATATAATTTTGATTAATTTACAAAAAATAATAGTAATTACCCACCCTTTTTGCTCCAAAGTGACTTTTTAAAATGAGGTGCCTATACTTGTATATAAGGATTTCTGTTACCAAGAATTAACCAGTCAGATACAACCTTATTATGAGATGTGACAGTAAGATGCATCTCGGTTATATGACCTATATATTAGGGCATTCACCCCAGACGGCTATTATTGTATTAGCTGTTGTCTTTTTTTTTTTTTTTTAAATCCTCACCCGAGGATATTTTTTCCATTGATTTTCAGAGAGAGTGGAGGGGGGGGGGGGGGCATTGATATGAGAGAGACACACCAATTTGTTGCCTCCCACACGTGCCCCAACCAGGGCCTGGGATGGAACCTGCAAACCAGGTACGTGCCCTTGACCAGAAATCAGACCCGAGACCCTTTGTTGCACAGGCAGACTCTCTAACCACTGAGCACACCAGCCAGGGTGGCTGCTGTCATTTTTTATGTGACAATCTAATGGAAAAGAAGTCAGTGCCCCTGACTAGTTATTGTGTGTTTTTAAGCCTGGCCAGTATGGCTCAGTGGTTGAGCGTTGACCCACGCACCAAGAGGTCGCTGGTTTGATTCCCGGTCGGGCACATGCCCAGGTTGTGGGCCCAAAGCCCAGTGGGGGGTGTGCAGGAGGAGGCCAATTGATGTTCTCTCTCATCAACGTTTCTCTCTCTCTCTCACTCTCTCTAAAAATAAAGAAAAAAATTTTAATTGTTACAGCACTCTGGTGACATTTGAATCTGGGTATCTTATTGCTGACCTCAAACTCCACATGCCTGGAAATGAGCTCATTCTCTTCTCCCTGCCCCCTTCTTTCTCCCCTTTGTCCTCCAAGTCAGCTCTTGGCAAAGCCCCTGTTCTCTAGCTCTAGGTATTTCCACTCACAAAATACCAGTTGTAAGCCTAATCAATATCTTAGAGCAGTGGCTAAGCATTTGGTAGCCAGTTGGTGAGTCATGAAGTCAGTTTAGTTGATTGAAATCAGCTTTTTTAAATAAAATAAAATAGACCAGAACATACCAGAATATGTTGGATGTAGTCGTAGTAGTTACTGTTTTATAAAATGTTTCACTTACTCACACACATTATATGTATTGATTGCCCTTGATATGATTCTGATCGTGTTCTTGGGCAAAAAAATAAAAATGTGAAAGCCACTAACCCCTCTCTTCCTCATCTGCTGTCCTCAAACCCACCAAGTCTGAGCGGTGGAACTTGGTACCAGCGCCGTCTCTGGCTCCACTCCGCACTCGGCGTCTGCCTCCAGGCTGCCCCTTCAGCCGTCTTTCTTCCTGTGGCCAAGTCCATGCACAGGACAGCCCCTCTCAGAAGCTTCCAGTCCTCTGTAGCCTTAGAATAAGAGCAGCCCCCCTAGCACATGAACAGACCTTTCCCTGCCCCAGCTCCAGTGGCTCCAGTGGCTCCTGTGGCAGAGCTCACTCCAGCCACGGCGGTTTGCTGGGCCCTGCAATGCCACGTCCCTTCACACAGCTCGCTCATGGGTGCTGGGTTTGCTTACAATAGCTATTGTATTTCAGAACACTTTTTTGTTGTTAATCCTCACCCAAGGATATTTTTCCATTGACTTTTAGAGTGGAAGGGAGGAGGGGAGAGGGAGAAAGAGAGAAACATCAATGTGAAACAGACACATCTATTGGCTGCCTCCTGTACACAACCCTATCCGGGGTTGGGGGATCAAACCCGCAACCCAGGTACATGCCCTTGACTGGGAATTGAACCCATGACCCTTCAGTCTGCAGGCGAGACACTCTAACCACTGAGCCAGACTGGCCAGGGCTCAAAACACTTTTTAAATGTAGTTTTCTCTGAAGTTGGCTTCCTGGTCTTCTCGAGCATCTACCTGCTCGTTACCTGCACTGCATTTATGTGTGCTTCTCACTGTGACCTTATGAAGCCATAGTGTTTGGGTGCACCACCACGTGGTCTTTTCCGTGTCTGCGCTGCCGAAGGCTGGACCTAGGAAGCACTCAGATACCACAGGCAGAGCTGGCTGCCTGGGCAGGAGCGAATCCTTGCCTTTGAGCGAACTGGAGAAGAGCCTTGGCCGCTGCCTCAGCTGGGCCACCACAAGATGCCGCAGACTGGGTAGCTCAGGCTTAGTTTTCACTGGAGGCTGGAAGTTCAGACCAGGGTGCCAGTGTGGTCAGGCTTTGAGGAGGGCTCTCTTCCTGGCTTGTAGAGGCTGCCTTCATGCAGTGTCCTCCTCACGTGGGGGAGAAAGCGCAAGCTCTCTAGACTGAGCTCCCCTAGTCTGAGTACCTCCCAGGGTTCCCGTCCCCAGTGACTGTCACACTGGGAGTTCAGGCTTTAACATAGAGGTTTTAAGGGAGACCCAGTTCATTCCATGGTGGCCACCACAAGGGTGTTTGTCGTGGATAATGTAAAAGTAGTCCTACTTTGGGAAAAGCTTGGAGTAGATCACATCTAAGTTCTTTTCTACTGGATAGATTCTGTAATGTCCTGCTGTTAACATTTTATCTTTATTTTTAAAATCAGGTAGACTTTCTAAGAAAGGAAATTTATCATCTTCCAGTGGTTGTAATGAAGCGAAGTTGACTTTTTGTGATGACGACTGGGATTCCTTGGCACTAGGACAGAAAGCTGACGACAGTGAAATCCGAAGCCTTGACAGCGTCGACCTGGAGCCGTCTGCTCCCGCGAGTCCAGACGGCAACATGGAGAGCACGCGCGCTCCCTCCAGGGCGTCCGAGGACAGTCTCAGCTACGTTTTCTTGAATGAAACATACTCTATCCATTATTCAGAGTCAAAACTGAAGGATGAAAATCTTAGTCTTTTAAATTCAGAATTAGATTCTGAAATGCAGAAAAGAGAGATGTTTTTTGATATCTTGGAACATAAAGTTGATAAGATTATTGGCTTAGAAAGAGCCAAGGTTTCGGACGATGATGATAAAGAACCTACCGAAGATGTGCAGAGGCACGAAACCGATGAAGACTCCCAGCTGGACTATCTCAGCGCGGAAGAGCAGGAGTATCTGAGCAGCCACTTAAATTCTAATCGGACAAAACCCCTGAACATATCTAGCCTGGAAGTTGCTGGGTTAAATGATGCATGTTATGAAGTTGAGCGTGCTAGCAGTCTAAAAGTTAATGATGTTAAGCTGAAAAGTTCTAGCAACTCTTTAGATTTGGTTGATGTTTATGGACAAAGAGATTCACCTCATGTCTCCAAATACCAGAATTCTGTTATGTTAAGAGACTATCATAAACCAAAGCACGAAAATAAGGAACAAGACACGAGTTTAATGTACCATACAGTATTTGGTGAAATTTCACTAAGGAGTAGTTCTGAAAACCAGAAATCTCTATCTAAGAATTCTTTCTTAAACCCTCAACAGGCATTAAAAACCAAAATTTATACTGGCAAAAGCAAATCTCAAGTCACGGAAAGTAAAGAGTTTTGTGGAGATGCAACTGTTGAGAACAAAATGTTTCAACACCTTGAAAACCGTAGCACGTCACCACAGGACAGAGCTCTAGAGACATTACTACAGTGCTTTCAAGGTAGTCAGACTCCCTGTCCCTCCGTTGGTGGTGATTCTGTCATTTCTGCCTGTGAACATTCACAGTATGAAAGTCTGCCAGACACTCCTAACTCAGTCCGAGATTTTTCTCTTACCTCACCAAGGATTGGAGTTGAAGATACTCAGACAATAAAAGACAGCTCCCTAAAAGTTACTGATGGCAGTGCCTCAAATAAAACGTGCTTACACAGTGTGGAAGGAACACGTCCCCAATCTGTGACAGAGGCGGCCGAGTGCACGGTCACCGTGAATCAGACAGTGGATGTCAGCACCGACTTCAGGGCTGGTTTCACAGCCAGCAGAGCGACCGGCGCCAGGCCTTCGGTAGTGTCTGTGTCCAGCAACACGGAGATCACAATGATGAATAAAAGACGCCCTGGGGAGGGGCAGAGGGCGAAACAAAGAAGCGTGGCTTGTAACACGGATGGCTCACGTAGTCATGACGACGATGTGCCGACGGTGGGGACGAGAGCGTCACTGGGAAAATCCCTCTCAGTTAACAGTATAAAACCAAATGGAAGTTTTCTAAGTAAGGTAAAACCAGTATGTTAATAATAGAATTTTATTTGACTTTATAAAGAGGCACTGTATGCTAATGTAAATTGCATTTTAGCCGAGGATCCTGAGGCTGTGGTGGGACAGGCTGGGTGGAGGGAAGGTGGGCAGAGGCCAGCCCTGCCCTTCCCTGGGCCGCTGGGCCACAGCCGTCAGCAGGCGGCTTTTACATTCTTCCAGTGTGGAGCTCCAGGTACACTGTGTCGTTTGTCGCATAGCTCTAATCTGGTTTTAAATCACGTTTGCAGGATTCCCTGGAATTAAGAAAAGCACTTGCTGTTACAGACTTAAAGGAACATCCTGAGAGGTAAGTGAGAGGTACAAGCTTGCAGATACACATGGGGAAAATCAAAGTAGTTATTCCCTTTTTGTAGTGTACTCAACCATATTAAAAAGTAGCTTAAAGGGAGCTTAAGAGATCATCTGCTTCAGCCATTTGCCTTCTTACAAAAAAATATTAGGATAATAGAGAATGGTAAATGTTTTTCATTTATTGAGATTTCATTCTCAACAATTTCTTTAGAAACTTGTGGCATCCTTTTATTCAACCCAAATCCATACTGATTTATTTACTCAGTTTTCTTTCATTTGATCCCCCTGTAGATCAAAACAAAGTAGCATCTTTGAAAAATGTCATATGTATGAATAAGTAAATAGCTACTTGCACTGGGATACGTTAATCTTGGTTTTAACCCACTGTGTAATTGACTTTGTACTTACTAGATACCCTTATGATATAGGACACAATGGAGAGCCAGGACATGGGGGAAGGGAAAAAGGGAGTTTCTGAGAAGCCAAATTAATTTTCATGCTCTGAGATGGTTTGCTTTTTCCTTCACTCTCCCTTGTTCTGAGTTTAATTGGCGGTCAGTCCCACGGAGCTGGCGAGAGCCGGGTCCCTGACGGAGAGGTGCTGGCGCAGCCGGCGGGGCTTCCGGCAGCTGGTCCGTTCACGTTCGGGAACTGCAGCAACTTGGGTTTTTTAATAAAGTAACGCAGGAAAATATTTGCTTATAATAATGATCCTTAATTATTAAGGGAAATGTCTATTTCCTATTAAAAAGATAACACATTTAAGAGTAATTTCCATCCAGAACACTGTAGCTTTAAAAATGTTGGCCAACCTCTCCAAACAGGACATACAAATGGCCAAGAGACATATGAAGAAATGCTCAACATCACTAATCATCAGAGAGATGCAAATTAAAACAACAATGAGGTATCACCTCACACCTGTCAGAATGGCCGCCATCAACAAGTCATCAAACAACAAGTGTTGGCGAGGGTGTGGAGAAAAGGGGACTCTAGTACACTGCTGGTGGGAATGCAGACTGGTGCAGCCACTATGGAAAACAATATGGTGCTACCTCAAAAACTTAAAAATTGAACTGCCATTTGACCCAGTGATCCCACTGCTGGGAATATACCCTAAGAAGCCTGAAACACCAATCAGAAAGAATATATGTACCCCCATGTTTGTAGCAGCACTATTTACAATAGCTAAAATCTGGAAACAGCCCAAGTGTCCACCAGTAGATGAATGGATAAAAAAGCTGTGGTACATGTACACAATGGAGTACTATGCAGCGGTAAGAAAGAAAGATCTCTTATCCTTTGAGACGACATGGAGGGACTTGGAAAGTATTATCCTAAGTGAAAGAAGCCAAGCAGAGAAAGACAAATACCACATGATCTCACTTATATACGGAATATAATGAACATAACAGTCTGAGGAATACAGTAGACCCAGACACATGGAAGTAGGGCACAGACTGACATCCCTCAGAAGAGGGGATGGGGGGTGGGGCGGGGGGGAAGAGATAAACCACAGAACTTATATGCATGTATGCATGACCAATGGACATGGACAACTAAGCCGGGGACAGGGTGGAGGGTGGGGTGGGGTGGGGGGTGCCAACGGGGTAAAAAGGTAAAATGTCTGTAACAAAAAAAATAAATAAAAATTCATTAAAAAAAATAAAAATAAAAAAAAAATAAAAATAAAAATATTGGCCAAAGCTTGATGTCGGGTGAAAACCTAGAGATTCTGGGTAAGTCAGTACTTCACTTTGAAGTCCTTTTTCATAAAGGAAGCATGAATGTGAGCATTGCTTACCTCCTCGCATTCTAGAGAAGATGCTGAGCTTTGACTCCTGGCGGCCTTGTTTGCTGCCGCTGTGATGTGTTCCTGTGGCCTTTCCGTGTCTGGGAGCTTGATTTAGACACGGAAATGCAAGAACCTGAACATCTGTTTCTAGGGCTGTGTCATTAACAGAAAAATATTTAGAATCTTACCTAACTTAGTCTTTTATTTTAAAGGGAACCTCAACTTTCTAAAGAAATGGAGAAGACTTTGCCACAAGAGTGCTGCCAGAAAACACTGCAGAGAGCCGTCAGGGCCGAGTCCCACCTCTTAGATGTCCACTATCAGATGTGTCAGCGCCACTGCAGTGACATCTACAAGCTTGTGATGGAAAGTAGGGGAGGGTTAAATAGGTGACTGTCCACTTTAAGTCTTGTCATCTTAGAAATTGACACTAGCTTTAAATTCTAAAAAATTGCTTTAATATCATTTTGAAGGGCAAAATGAGTAGTAGATTGCAACTCGACTTTTAAAAGTAATACATTTGAATTTCATGGAGAGACAGCAGTGCATTCTGGGATGAAGAACCCAGTGAAAAGGTAGATCCGATGCTCCTTGTGAAGTCCGAGTACAGGTGAAGTCATCGCAGGGTCTCCATGACGCTCCACCGCGTTCTCTCTGGCTCATGTGATGAGGACGCTGGTGCTGCTTCCAGAAAGCAGTCTTCACTGGGTCCTTTTCTTTCACTGAACATTTAAAAGAAAAAATTTTGAAGATCTGATAGAATTAGAACTAAGTATGTTATACGATATTAATGTTAAATGGATGACTTAAGCGTAAACCAATTTTGTGAACTTTTGAACAGGAATTTTTCAACTAATCCTATCAAAAAGGAATTAGGATCAGCACTGCTGTCTGTTTTGGGAGACTTGAAAGTGAAGTATGTGGGTTTGAAAGAGAAGATAAGCAGGGGCACACCGCTGGACGAGCTGCCCCCGCTGGCCGTCGAGTCCAAGTTGTTGTCCGCCTTCTCCGCCTTTGCTGCCAGGGTATGTGCTTTTGTCTTAAGGGGAAACATTTTACTTCGTTTAGATAAAACACTTCAAACTAAAAGACTTTTCTTCCCTTTTCTGTCTTTCCAGCTAATGAAAAAAGAATCACATGTGTAAGTTATGGTTTCATCAAATTTAGAATTTATTTTATCTTAAAAATTGCTTAATTTACTTAATTTTAAGTTTTCTCTTTTGGTCATTACTTAGAATGTTGACAAAATCTTTAATGAAATGTTTCTCTGTTCAGCTTTTCAGGAGCAGATTCTGAACTAGATAGTCAAAGTATATGTGATGTTGACATTTCTTCAAGCCTAAAAAAAACTCTCTCTCAAGTAAGATTTTTTTAGTTCATCAGTGTAAATCTAATTTTTTTGGCTAAAGCCAAGTAAACTAGAATTTGTAGAAGTTCTCATGTCCTTCTTGTCATTTAACTGGCTTACTATGTATACTATTGTTTGAGTGGTATCACATGCATCCAGGTCAAACAGACGTCAACAGTATATATTGAGTAGGGCAACCACATAATTTATCATTAAACCAGGGGACTTGAGGGTGAAAGGTAGTGTGATGTTCATAATTTACCATGACAAGATATAAACCGGACTGTTTCAGGCAAAGCATGACTTGTGACCACCATCATATTGATCCAGTGGGGTAAAAATGAATTATCTTAGGGAATTCATCTCATGAGGGAGAGCAAAGTAATTACATATTCATTTTAGACAGGGCAATGTTTTAATTCTTTCTTTTTTGACATGAAAATAATTTAAAAATGCCTTTCATAGGTTTTCTTTACTTCTTTTGGTCCCAGGGAAATGCTTGTCACTCTGCAAATTGTGAAGTGATAGAGAATCGTAAGTTATGCTCCATTACCAAGTGAGGCAGGAGCAGGACAGCTGGCATTTCTTGTTGCTTCCTGACTTTGGTTTTAACCCTGAGGTTATATTATGTAGGTAGTCGTATATAACAAGGTGCATTCCAAAGCCAAAAGTGAAGTACTTGGTTGATTTATATTCATTTCTGTTAACTTAAATGATAATAGTAAATTACTTTAGCAGTTTATTTCATTGTTTTATTCAACTCAATTATGCACAAAGAATTTAACAGATCTACAAACAGGTTTTGCTATCCTCAAATTTCTTATGTAGTTGCTTAAACAACTTATTTATTTAATGATATATAACATTCTGGAGAAGTTGTATTTCATCATTGTAATGGTAGCAGTGATATAACCTGCTTATTTGGGGAAGAACAAATTATTTTTAAAACTACAAGGTATAATACACATAATTTTATAATCTAAGCTTTGGCTATAAAATAATACTTTAAGTTGTGATTATATTTTAATACCTGTCTCATTGAATGAACGGCTATGCATGAGCCAGTGTAGTGCGAGTAGATTTCAGTTACTTCTGTACATCCTCACAATTTCCCATAGCCATGCATTCCCTGTAACGTTACTGCTTTGTGGTGTTCTTTAAACAATTCTTAAATAAACTTACGTGTAAAGAGTACCTTATTTACCGCTACATTTGGTAAAGAAATATTACTTCCAATAAATAAGTTAAATGTTAATATGAAAAATACTTATGTATACCTTCAAAAATCATCTGATTTCTAGTGTGTGTGTTCTACACTTTGCTAGATAATGGTCATGTGAGCATACGGTCACTGCACAGACGGGGTAGTTCAGATCCTGAGCCCCATGACCTGTGTGACAGAGGCCCGTCTGCGCACCTGCAGAGTGGGTGGAGAATGACTCTGCTCTCAGAGCCTTCAGTTGTCCTGAGGGCCAGTGCCAGGAGAGTGCCCCCGGCAGTGAGAGTGCCCCCCGCAGTGAGAGTGCCCCCCGCAGTGAGAGTGCCATCAGTCCTCATGACTGTCGTCTTTATTATCGTGATCCTCAGGTGGCTTTGTTATCTGACAGTAGTCATCCTAAACAAGGTGCCTCACCCGAGGAAGATGGTTTAAAAAGTGGTGATCTAGGTGGATACTTCAGTAAACTGAAACTCGATGACAAAGGTCAGTATAAAAACGTATTGTCTGCCCTGGCCGGTTTGGCTCAGCGGTTAAAGTGTCGGCCTGCAGTCCCGAGAGACCTGGGTTTGGTTCCCACTAGGGGCATGTACCTCGGTAGCAGTTTGTCCCCGGCCCTGGTTGGTCGTGCGAGTGGCAGCCACTTGATGTGTCCCCTTTCATGTTGATGTTTCTCTCTCTCTCTTCCTCTCTCTCCCTCCCGCTCTATTTGAACAAAAAATGGAGAAATGGAGGGATGTCCTTGGGTGAGGATAAAAAAAAACAAAGGTATTGTCTGTATCATTGCCAGAAATCAGTATAGTTTAAATATTCCTGGTGCCCATTCATTAAATCAAAATAAATATTTTTATTTGACTGAAAGGCATCATTCTGATGATGAATGTTAAGTATGTTCTTTTTACATGGACTTGACCTCTTTGCAGTGGTTCTCAACCTTCCTGATGCTGCGACCCTTTAACACAGGTCCCATGTTGCATGTGGGCGCATCTGCGTGCGGGCGGACCCGCCTGGAGACGATGGAGGAGCGAGTGGTGTCTCGGTTCCTAAAACCATCGGAAATACGTGTTTTCCGATGGTCTTAGGCGACTCCTGGGAAGGGACCGTTTGACCCCCAAAGGGGTTGCAACCCACAGGCTGAGAACCGCTGCTTTAAGGTCATGTGATACTATATCTGATATTGCCAAATAACACAGACTTTGATTCTTCTGGTTCATGTTTTACAGCCTGAAAATTCCTCTGTCCAATTTGTACCTCTGTAAGTTGTAATATTTTTCATTTTGTCTTCTATGAAAAAAGATGATCATTCCGGAAACATTACTAATTCAGTTCTTAAAGAAATAAAGAGCTGCAGTACTGTTTAACCCCTTTAAAGACGCCTGCTGTCAGTCTGTGTAGAAAGATAATGCAAATCTCTTTAATAAGGAATAATTTAAAAATCAGCCCTGGCTGATTTGGCTCAGTGGTTAGAGCACCGGCCTGCAGACCAATGAGTCGCGGGTTCAGTTCTGGTCAAGGGCACGTACCCCTGTTGCGGTTCGTCCCCAGCCCTGGTCGGGTCGTGCGGGAGGCACCCAGTCGATGTGGCTCTGCCACCTCAATATTTCTCTCTGTCTCTCTTTCCCCCTCTCCCCTCCCTATCTAATGATAAATAGAGAAATATCCTCGGATGAGGAATAAAAAATAAAATCAGAAAAATGTGGCTGGAAATTGGTGTTAATTCAAGGAAAACCAGACTGCAGATCATCAGACTAAAAAGTACTTTTTATTCAGGGTCTGTTGAAAATCCCGTCTCAAAAACTTTTTTTTTCTTTTCTTTTTAATCCTCCCCTGAGGATATCTTCCACTGATTAGAGAGAGAAAGAGAGACACAGGCCGTTGCCTCCAATGGCCTTTGCTTGCTCAGCTGGGGATCAAACCCATGACCTTTTGGCGTACAGGGCAGTGTTCCAGCCAACTAAGCCGCACTGGCCAGGGCCCTTCTCAGAGAATCCTTATCCTTATGCCTGCTTCTTCTACTTTGTTAATTAATTTTTAATCCTCACCCCAGGATTTTTTCCATTGATTTTCAGATAGAGTTGGAGGGAGGGAGAGAGAGAAAGAGAGAGAAACATGGATATGAGAGAGATAACATCGATTGGTTGCCCTCCCGCATGACCCCATCCAGGGCTGGGGATTGAACCCCATCTCTGGTCCCAGGCCAGTCCTCCAACCACTGAGCAAAACCAACCAGGGCAATATTTTCATTTTTATACATAAAACTAGTATTGTCATCATGTTGGTTCTGGGAAGCTTTTAGATAACTTCTCAGAGGGGTAAACTTATATCATTCACAGCTGCTTGTGTTCAATTCTCAGATAACAAAAACTCTCAAGAAGTAAGTGAAGACTGGTTTGATGCTAAAGAGAACCTGACAGGAGTTGATTGCTCAGGAATACAGGAAAGTCAAATAGAGCAAGATGGACAGAATCCGAAGTTTACACCAGGTTGGTTCTTAACAATTTACTAAGAAATTCTAACCTAGCCATTTTTAAAGTAGTGCTTATTGTCTTCCATGTTATCAGGGGTGCTAAGCTGTTTTATTAAATCCTCTCCTGAGGATATTTTTCCATTTTTGTTCGGATAGAGAAACATTGATGTGACAGAGACACATCGACTGGTTGCCTCCTGCGTGACCCTGACCAGGGTCAGGGCCGAACCACAACCAAGGTAAGTGCTCTTGACCGAAATCGAACCCGCAACTCATTGGTGCGCAGGCCGATGCTCCAACCGCTAAGCCAGACCAGCCAGGGCAGTACAAGGCTGTTTTAATATTTTATTCCTGTTGTGGCTTTTTTTTATAAATATAAAAAAAATGAGAAAATTTGCAATTTGTAGGTCAATTTTTTAAAGACTAAATCACTTTAAAATGTTCGTTTTTCTTGTCAGACCAGAGTGGTTCAGTGGATTGAGCGTTGTCCCATGGACTGAGGGGTCCCAGTTTGATTCCCGGTCAGGGCATATGCCCAGGTTGTGGCTCAATCCCCAGTAGGGGGCGTGCAGGAGGCAGCCAATCGATGTGTCCCTTTCACATCGATGTTTCTCTCTTTCTCTCTCCCTCCCCCTCCCTCCCCCCTCCGACTCTACCTGAACAAAAAAATGTCCTCGGGTGAGGATAAAAAAAATAGGTGGAACAACAAATCGATGTCTGTCTCTCTCTCTCCCTCTCTCTCTCTCTCTCTCAAAAAATCAATAAGTAAAATAATTTTTTTAAGTATAAGAAAATAAAAATTGCCTGAAGTGTCTCCAATTTACAATAACCACTATTAATATTTTTGTTATTATTTTATGTTTTTATGCATATACGTAATACACATACACCGTTTAAAATAAATGGCTTTATATCATCTAGTTTTACTGTAACTACCTTTTCTCCTTACATTTTTCTCCATATCGTGTGCGATGCGTTTTGCTTCCCACGCTCAGATTTCAGCCCCGTGAGGTCGGATTTCTTTGTGCTTTGCTCACGGCTGTCCTGGTGCCAGGTGCAGCGCTCAGCCCACCGGGGGGGGGGGGGGTTAGGAGATGTGTTGTGTTCAACTCTAGTGCCAGGTGCGGTGACGGGTGAAAGGGATGTCTCCTGATACCTACTTACGTACCTTTTCTACTGTAACGTAGTTCCTTGCTCCCTTATCCCCCCAATGTAAAAATGTAAATTATAAAGGGAGATCATTAGTTTCACTGTTTTTTCTATACAGCACATTATAAACCAAAGAAATTAGCAAGTTAAGTTAATGAAGAAGGGTAGGTATCACTGCCTAGAGATGAAGGATTTTCCCTGAATTCCAGCACTGCCACTGGCTAGACTGTGACCTCGACTCCTGAGATCTCAGCACCCTCCTCTAGAAAATGGAGAAGATGACAATTGTAGTTCACGGGGTGGTTGCCGACATCACACGAAATGATACGTATGAAGTGCTTGGTGTATTGCCTGGAATGTGGGGAGCACTCAACAAGTGTTAGAGCATTATTATATGAATGAAGAAAATAAAAGTTATAACTACCCCATTATTATATAAAAATTAAAATCATACAAATAAAAACTAATTTAAGAATTCATTCAACAGATAATTATTGTGTGACCTCCTATGTGCCAGGTATGGGTTTTAATAGTAACTTGAAAGAATCTCAATTCAATGAATCCTTTTTTATTTCAGACCAGGCTCTCTTCAAAATACAGGCTGAAAATGTAGTCTAAGACTTTTGAATTCTGTTATCAAATAAGGAAAATATACCTATAATCCTAGTATTTGTGATTTCCAAAATAGTGCTATCTAAATTGCCCCCCCCCCCCCATTTCCATGTGCCATTACTGTTACACAGCCTCGTACCTGCTGGTATTCGTCTGACTTAACAGTTTTCGGTGTGGTGCCCCCAGCAAAGGCATGAACATGAAGAGACCTGGCCAGCGTGAGGGATGGGGAGGGTCTTGTGTGCACCAGCATCTTGGTGCTGCTCCCAACCGGAGAGGAGCAGAAGACACAGTCTTCAGTAGGGGTGATTGAGTCTCTGTTTGGTTCTTATTGGTCCATTTTCAAGCTACAACAGACTTGCTTAATGTCAACAAGTCCGACCTCTTTCTTTTTAGGCGATACGATCAAGGCCAGAGATCCCCAGCTGAGCTCCGGCTCTTGGTCTTCAGTCAGCGCTGCTGTTTGCGGATGCTTTTATGACGAGCTCTGTGATGATAAAAATAAAATATTTAACAATTTTCACATTTCTGTTAGAAGTATTGATATAATAATGGTTATCTTCTGTTGTGTCTTATGTTTTTGTATAAGCAGAAATTCAGAATGTTGAACCCTCACAAAGAGTTAAAGGTTATTTGGTACATGTTGGTGGTCTCTGCCCTTCAGTATCTGAGGTATGCCAGGATTTATTTTTTTGAGCTTCATTTTCAGAAGTCTTTAGTGTTCAAATTTTTATTATCTGTTGTTGTTTTCTACCTTTCACAAACTTTTCTGTTCTTTTAGGCTGATATAAGATCCCATTTCCAGAAATATCAAGTTTCTGAAATTTCGGTTTATGATTCTTCTAATTACAGGTGAGTTTCCCAGCGTCCGTCAGTGTGCGTTTCCTGTGTGTGCTGGCGCGGGGCTCTGTGCTGGACATGAAGCAGGCGGGGGTCGAGCCAGGGCCATTGCGGCAGAGCTTCCCCTGCCTAGGAGGGGGCCCCGGGGCCCCACAGCTGCCACCTGAACTGGTGCTGGTCCCCGTCGGATCTTCGTCACGTGCTGTCCCCGTTCCTGCTGAGACAGAGCAGCACTCCTGGGCCGTGCGCGCCTGGTCTCGTCTCTTGGTGGCCGTGGGCGTGTACTTAGAGCAGGCTCAGCTGCTGCGCCGCCGGGCCCTCCGCCCAGCTCCAAGAGCACTTGCTGATGAGTCTGGGCAAATTACTTAACCTTGCTGAACCTCAGGCTCTTTCTATAGAGCAGGGCTGAGAACAAGTGTGTCTTCATGGCCTTGCCCTGAAGCTGTTGTTAGCTGAGTGAGTGAAGCAGTAGGAATGAACCTGGCACGTAGCAGGTGCTCAGATACTGCGCTTCCGTTGTTTCCACGGCCCTCCCCTAGTCGGGGCTCCCACGGCCCTCCCCTGGTCGGGGCTCCCACGGCCCTCCCCTAGTCGGGGCTCCCACGGCCCTCCCCTGGTCGGGGCTCCCACGGTGTACTTTTAGGCAGATCAGTGTGTCATCTGTGTGCCATCATATGCATTTGCTACTGTGTTTTGTGACGTTGCCAGAACATACTGATGGCAAGAGTTCATTGGGAATGCCTTTACCGTTTTATTACTAAATATGGTCATCATTTATTTCAGATATTAAGCTCTCAATTAAGAAAGGATCCTAGCCCTGGCCAGTTTGGCTCAGCGGTTAGAGCGTCGGCCTGCGGTCCGGAGAGACCTGGGTTCGGTTCCCGCTAAGGGCACGTACCTCGGTTGCAGTTTGTCCCCGGCCCTGGTTGGTCGTGCGGGTGGCAGCCACTCGATGTGTCCCTTCACGTCGATGTTTCTCTCTCTCTCTCCCTTCCTCTCTCTCCCTCCCACTCTATCTGTACAAAAAATGGAAAAATGTCCTCGGGTGAGGATAAAAAAAAAAAAAAAAAAGGATCCTATTTGTAGTTTTGATTGAAATTTATTTTATAAAACTTGATGTTTAATTTTGTCTTAAATGGAGTCACTTGAGACATATGCTTTTTTTCTGCTTTTATATTTTAGATATGCATCTCTTGCTTTTAAAAACAACAATGATGCAAAGTCTGCTGCAAAAGAAATGAATGGGATAGAAATAAATGGGAAATCAGTCAATGTGCGACTTATAAAAAGTCCTGGAGAATGTACATCACCACTGTCCTCCAAAAATGGAAAGAGAATTAGTTTGAATAATTGGGAGAAAAACACCAACAAAGAAGTCAACTCAGCTTCGTCTGTTTCTAGATTGCCCAGAACTAGGCCCAGGCACCTGGGATCTGAGCAAGACAGGGAGTCATTCCATTTCGACCAGGAGGTTGGTATCCTGCAGGCCCTTTGGGTGGTCTTGTGAGCTGCCTTGCAGTAAGTGGCTGTGTAGAGCAGATGACTCCGAAACCAGCCATCTTGAAGTGGGAAGAGAACATACTCTCAGTGTTTGGCAGCCTTGGACCCACTCTGACCTGCTGCTGTACAACTGCAGTTCTCCTGCGGGGAGGAGGTCTCTGCAGCCCCAGCCCCAGAAAAGCTCGTTTTCCTTTCACTTAACTCGGTTCTGCCAGTGCTTTGCAGGGTCTGCCTCTCTGTTCGCAGACCACACTGCGTCATCCTTTTTATGGCAGCTAAGCTAACCTTACCCCGTACTCGTTAAAACCCTGAAATGTAGTTACTTCATTCTCTGTGCCCACACGTCCCTCACCACCACAGGGAAGTGAAGAAGTTGCCTTGCTCCCTTTCTCCCATACAAGTCGTTTATGTCCAGCGTCATGATTTCTTTGTTCCTCTTCCTCATCTTACTTCAGACAGCACCTGGCACCACATGGGCATCCATCCTTCCTTTCGTTTGATCTTACATGCAGTGAACTCACTTTGTTTGCTGTCTGTGTGCTTACACAGATGCACACAGACATGTAACTGCCAGTCAAGATACGGAAGAGTCCGTTGCCAACACTCTTGCGCTCTGCTGTGCGTCCTGCTCCTGTTGCTGCCTTTCCCGGAACGCCACTGCAGGGGCGGCATGGGCCTCCTCGGCCGGCTGCTGCCGCTTCCGCTGCGCCTGAGACCGGTGCGGGTTGCGTGTAGCAGCGGTTCCTTCCTGTTTATATTTTGTTCGTTTTTACTCTTTTGTTGTTTTTCTTATTACTGAGTTCTGAGAGTTTTTTATATTTGGAATATAAATTCTTTATCAGATGGATATGTGACTTGCAGATACTTTTTCCTAGACTGTACTTTGTCTTTTCATTTGTTTAATAGTATCTTTATCAGAGCAGGAGTTTTTACATTTTTTAAAATATGTTTTTATTGATTTTTTAGAGGAAGGGAGAGGGAGAGAGAGAAACATCGATGTGAGAGAGAGACCTCTATCGGCTGCCTCCTGCACGCCCCCTCTGGGGACTGAGCCTGCAACCTGGGCCTGTGCCTGACCGGGAGTCGAACGACGCTCAGTCCCCTGTGCCACATCAACTGGGCATGGAGTTTTTAATTTTGATAAAGTACCAGTTTTTCTTTTTCAACTAGTACTTTTAGTGTTGTATCTAAGAAACCTATAATCACAAAGATTTTGACTGAATTTTTATGTAATGTGTGAGGAATGAATTTAAGTCATTTTTTTCTTTGTGTTTTTGTGTTACATGTGGAATTGTTCTTCTAGCATCTCATTGTTGAAAAGACCATCCTATGGAGATTGAATTATCTTTACAATTTTGTCAAAAAACAATTGATCATATATGTATATGGGTCTATTTCTAGACTCTTCCATTGATTTGTTTGTCTATCTTTTCACCAATACTACACTATCTTGATGATTGTAGCTTTATAATAAGCCTTGAAATCAGGTAGAATTAGTCTTCCAGCTTTGTTCTTTTTCAAAATTGTTTTGACTATTCTAGTCTCTTTGTCCTTCCGTATAAATTTCATAGTTCAACTTGTCAGCACCTACCAAAAACTCCTACTTTGATTTGTACTGGGATTATTTTGAGTCTGTAGATGAAAGCAACGTTTCAATGAGTGGATGAAAGAGCTACTTGCTGGATAAGACAAAGGGGTCCTGTGTCCGTCAGCCCTTCTTTCCCACCGTCCTCGGTTACCCACCCTTCCAGCACTCATGGCCCTGCCCTGCCCGGCCCTCCCGGCTGCCTGGCTCCGCGAGGTTCCCACTGGACTTCATTCTTGTGAACTTACCTTTCCTGTCTGTCCTGTTTTACTGCCAAACATCCCAGAATTTTGGTCTCTAAAGTTGTATTTTAACTGCTTTTTTGTTGTTGTCACCAGTGACCTTTTATTGGTCTTTCCCCCATTGACCTTCTTTTTGACTATCTAACCTATTCGACGCTTGATCATCCCTTTCTCAAAATTCTTTTCCTTTCATCTCAGCGACACTTCATGTTTAAGATGTTTGTTTTTGGTACATAACCTCAATCCACGGTGGGAAAAAAGGAAACAGTGCGGTGGGCCACATGGTGCCTGAACCAGAGATTCGGGACTGCGGCTCCCCCTCCTCTCCTGTAGACACGGGTCCTGCCCCCACAGCCGTGTGCTCGGTTCCTCTGCCTCTGCACGTGGGCGCTCTGTCGGCCGGGCTTTCCTCTTCCTCCGTTTGGCTTTATTCTCTTCATTTTCACTCTGCAGTGCTTTTCAGTTCCACCTCTGTCATTTGACTGACTCATTTCCTCTGCGTTTCAATTCCTTGTTCTTTAGACAGGACATCTGACTGACCCAGCCTGTGGTGTTGGCGTTCACTGGTTCAGGTGGTGCGCTCCTGCTTAGTCAGCGGGGGCAGTAGCCGTGGAGTTGGCAGAGGGAGGCTTACGCGGTGTACACAGGACACCATGGGCCAGGGTAGGGTATGCTACCTCAGGGTGTGTGGGCAGAGAGGCCTCTGTCACCACCTTGTTAGACTGGACTCAGGTTCTCTTACCTTTCCAGCAATCTCTTGTCGCCCTTCTTTTCCTTGTATTCTCAACATTCATTCATTATATGTATTCATTTACAGGGTGGGCCACACACATAAGGCCTACGAAGTCGGCTCCAGCTGACCTCACACACCTCACCAAGTGAGCCTGAGCAAATAGAGCAGCTGATTGTTAAGGTGGTAATTTTGTGGGGCCCAAGACTGATGTTACAGATACCCAAATGGCCCTTGGCAGAAAGGGGTTGTCCACCCCTGGTTTAGAAAACAATTGTCTACGATGAGAGACAGAGTAGTGATGATCAAGAACAACATATCCATAACCTCGCTCTGCCCCTGCTCATCATGTGATTGAGCCAGTTACGCGGTCTCTGCGTCTGAGCTTCCTTGTCTTAGTATGGGGATAGTAGTTTCTACTTCACAGATGTTGTATGACTTTGATGCAGAAAATGTTTGGAACTGCCTGACCTGGCAGGTGTACTCAACAAATAGTCGTTACCATCGCTGTTGACCAGCGACTTGGCTCTTCCATGGAAATCTCATCCTCTCTGTGGTTTCCTCTGTCACTTAACTGTTGTATCCCAAGCATCTACTTTTTTACGAACAGTTAAGACATACCCGCGGTGTGCGCTGTTCTGGACCCGGGAAGGCTGCAGTGAGCAAGCAGACCGAGAGCTGTGTCCTGAGAGCCGAGACCGAGTGAGGGGGAAGCAGAGCAGCGAGACGGACGCTGCTCCACGTGCGAGATTTCCACGTGCGAGATTCTCACCACGTCTTGTCCCGACTCCATCGGGCCTGACGTCTCAGCTCTTCCTTTGTTGAACTTTTATGGGATTTATACTGGATTCGTGCAATTTATAGCCTACTTGCCTGGCTAATAGTAATTAATTGACTATTTTAATTTTGTCTCTTCAATTGGATTACAAGGTCCATCAGTGGAGAGGGGTCTCCTTCCCTGGCCTTCTCCCCACCCAGCATGCACTACGGCTTTGGGCATAGAGTATGTGTTCGTTACATATTTAGTAAATAAGATGTAGAATATGTGAAACTACCATGTAGACCAGTTTTTCTGTCAGGTCAGATAAGAGAACTAAGCTTTCACGCCCAAAGCCTAAGATATTCATTGTATATGGTGAATCAGCCTCTCTCAACCTCTCTCTCATCTGCATGAACTCGTTGCGTTCTCTCTGTTGGAAAGATGAGAAAACAGGTCTGTGTTCTGCGGCTCAGAGCGGAGTCCTGGCTGAGAAAGTCGGGTTCAGACACTGTCACTGCTCTGAGAACAAGTGGTGGCCCTGAGCACAGCTCAAGGAAAGGCACTTGGTATAAATAATCCCAAATCAAAGCAAATTTCTTAAAATTTTTAATTTTATCATTTGTAATTGTTATCATTACTGTTAATACTTTTAGTTTTCACTATTGTAATTTAAAATTTTATTTTAGTTGAATAAGCTGGATTGTGTTTATGTAATGGTTACTGATTGTAAGAAAATTTCTAAAACACTTATTTAGGGTGTCAAGATGAAGAATTGTAAGCAGATCGACTCCACTGAATTACTACACAACACGCCTATTCGGTTCATACCCCCAAATACATTGAACCTGCGCAGCTTTACCAAGATCGTGAAGAGACTCGCTGAACTGCATCCGGATGTCAGCAGGTGACAGCCACAGTTCTGTTTTAGCTGCATGTCAAGTTTTATGTGAAATGCAGTTTGATAACTTAGCCATGTTTGGAGTGCACACATGCTGTGGACAGGACGATGCTCATGCAGGTTTGCCTTTTGCACAGAGATCGTATTATAGATGCTCTTCAAGAAGTAAGAATGAGTCATAAAGGTTATCTGAATGGCTTGTCTCTTAATACTATTGTGGAAATGACTTCATCTGTTTTGAAAAACTGTGCTTCCAATTAGGAATAAAAGAAGTAATAAGAGGTAAGTCAATCATATCTTTTATATTTAACTATTACTTAAAAATGTAAGTTACTAATTTTATTTTTCCTAATGAAAAGAGTATTATAAATATTATAAAAGTAAAAAAACAACATACTGTATTAGTTCATTATTAATGCAAAACCAGTTACCCAAAAATTAATTAATTGACTTAAACAATGTTTATCATCTCATAGTTTGCAAATCAGGATTTGAAAACAGCTTAGCTGGGTGGTTGTAGCTTCGGGACTGTCCTGATGCTGCAGTCACGAAGCTGGCCTGGGCCTCAGTCACCAGGAGGCTTGGCTGAGACTGCCGGATCTGCTTGTACGGTGCCTCGCTCACAGGGCTGTCGGGGTCCCCAGTACCGCCCCCCAGGTCAGCGATTCTGGGAGAATTCACCTTAGCACATAGTTGTACGCACAGCTGGGATTTATGAGAGCGAAAGGACACAGCTAAATGAGCGAAGGGACAGGCTCACAGGACATGTCTGGAGGAGCCCAGGCCCAGGCTTCCAGGAACTCTCTCCCAGGGGAGTGACACGGGCTGTGCTTATTTCCTCCGCTAGTGAGGTAGGACAGCACCTGCACTAAAGACTCAGTGCTCAAAGTTTGTGCTTGGGGCTGGTCTTGTGGGTGCCCACTGCTTAGCATGTACCAAAGTTCCAGATTCTGAGCAGGAAAGCACCTGTTCAGCATCACCCACACTGCTCATGCGGAGTTGGCACAGTGAGCTGCTCACCTCTGGGACTGGGGGAGTGTGCAGCCACTGTGGAAAATGGTATGGCAGTTGTCACATTGAACACAGACTTACCGTATGGCTCAGCAGTTCTGCTTCTGAGTACATACCCAGAAGAACTGAGAACGCAGGGACTCAAACAGATGTTTGTACACCTGTATTCATAGTAGCATTATTCACCCCCAAAGCGGAGGAGCAACCAAAGTATCCCTGGACAAATGAATGGATAAACAAAGCTGATATATACATAAATGGAATAACAGTTAGCCTAGAAAAGGAATGAAATTCTGACTTATGCTACATCATGGATGAACCTTGAAGAGTTTATAATAAATGAACCAGTCACAAAAGGACAAATACTGTTTTACTCCACTTACACAAGGTACCGAGAGTAGTGAGATTAATAGAGACAGAAAGTAGAATGGTGGGTGCCAGGAGCTGGGGGAGGAGAACGGGGTGGGGTTAGTGGGTGTCTCGGCTCAGGCAGGTGAAAATGTTCTGGAGACGGCTGATCACGCGACCGTGTTACGGATACTTCACCACAATTTAAAAAATACATCCAGTGCCGATAGGGTGAGGGAGAAGCACGTAATAGAAAATCGTACAAGGTAGGTCACAAAGGAGAGTGACCGGGCAGCGCACGGGGCGGGGGGGTGACTCGTGGGAAGGAGGATGGTGGGAGCAGTCACGTCAGTGAGTACATGCACATGTGAAGAAACTATTTCTGTGAAAGACTAAGATTGTCAGATTGGGTTTTTGAAAACCATTTTAGTGTCTCTAGAGACACATCTGGAAAAACATTAGGGTACCAAAAGGATGGAACAGTAACAGTGCTGTATTCATATTAGACAAAGTGCACTTCAGAGCAATGACATTAATGGTTATTTAATAACCACGTGTAAATAACAGTTCTGTATTAGTATGCATCTAATAATACCTTTAAATATGTAAAGCATGTATTTCCAAAACTAGCAGGAAAAACAAGTCTATAATTATAATGGGAGATTTTGACATACTTCTCTAATAGAAGAAGCAGACAAAAATGATAATATAGAGAATTTGAACAATCCAAATAACCACCTTGACTCGAGTCTCTTCAGGTTGGAAGGGCCAGTACTGTTTTAAAGGGGAAAGGTAAAAGTTTGCAAAAGGTGGAAACTGTGCAAATTGTGTTGCTTGCATGACCTTTGCTCAGCCTTCTGTTGAGTATGGGTAAGGACTATCTGAATTATCTGTAAGGCAATGGTAACCCAGCAGATGCTGGACGAGATACCAGCCCAGCCCTACTGCAAAGTGGACGGTAGGCCTGACAAAATACATCAGCAGGAACTGCCGGAAGCTAAAAGTAGAGTAGATAACCGACACCCCAACCCTGATCGAGGCTGAACCCTTCCCGCCTCAGCCCGCCTGCACCCCGGCGCACGCAATAAAGCCATCTTGCTCGACACTGGCCTTGCGTTGTGGATGTGATCTCCCACCGGCTCAGACCTTTTACAGGTCCCCTGAAATATTTACAGTTTGATTTACAGACCATAAAATAAGTCTCAACTACTGAAGGACTGAAAAAAGAATGTTCCTCTGGGGCTACAATTTGAATAACTTAGAAATCAATAATGAAAAAGAAGTTGAGCCCTGGCCAGTGTTGCTCAGTGGTTAGAGTGTCAGCCCTCCCGCTAAAGAGTCACAGTTTGATTCCTGGTCAAGGGCATGTGCCTCCGGTGAAGGTCCGGGCCCCAGCCCTAGTCTGGGCACGTGCAGGAGGCAACCAATCGCTGTGTCTCTCTCTCGTCGGTATTTCTCTCCTCGCGCTTACCCTGCCCCTTCCACCCTCTCGCAAAGTCAGTGGGAAAATGTCCTCGGGTGGGGATTTAAAAAAAATAAGTTGGAAATCCTCTTGTTTGGAAATAAATAAACCAGCAAGTGAAAGAAGAAATAATGAACATTAGAACATAGGTTTTAGTGGACGGTGATGAAAACCCTCCACACCGGAGCTGTGCAGATGGAAACGGACGGCTTCAGACGCCCACGCACTAAGGACAAACGACAGAATCAGTGAGGGAAGCGTCTGCCTCAGGAAGTTCAGGCAATAAAACGAGAAAGGTGATAACCCAGGAAATACAGAAGTGTGCAAACTAATGAAATAAACAATGAAGAAACATAAAATTGATAAATCCCTGATAAAACTGATGAAGTGAAAAGGCACAGATAACTGTAAGGGACAGGATTTTTTCAGAAAGGGTATGTCACTGCAGATCTTAGACATTGAAAAGGTGATTAAAATCCTGTACTGTTGTGCCTTGGCCAGTTTGGCTCAGCGGTTAGAGCATCGGCCTGCGGTCCGGAAAGACCCGAGTTCGGTTCCCGCTAAGGGCACGTACCTCGGTTGCAGTTTCTCCCCTGCCCTGGTTGGTTGTGCGGGTGGCGACCACTCGATGTGTCCCTTTCACATCGATGTTTCTCTCTCTCTGTTCCTCTCTCTCCCTCCCACTCTATCTGAACAAAGAATGGAAAAATGTCCTCGGGTGAGGATGATAAAAAAAAAAAAAAATCCTGTACTGTTGCATTTTAATTGGAAATAATGTTCTTTAAAAATACATATTTTTAGCTCTGTTCCCTAAAAACACCTAGAAGCAGTTAACACCCAGTGACATCGAGCACAGTTGGCATCTAAGTTGTCACCTATAATGGCATTGCCGAGCTCTCCTTTTGTCCTGTGCATTCCTGCAGCCACGCATTTAAGTAACTGCATATATGTACTTTCTAACAACTGTCTCCTAACTGCTCTCTCTACCCCGGTAACCTGCTAGCCTAACACTGATGCCTTCCCGGTGCTGCCCTCATGCTCTGTCCTCCTAATCCACACTGCAGCGCAGAATGTTCACATGCCCATGCCCGGGACTGCGTGCCCGGTCAGCACCCCGAAAGTGTGTGCCTTCCTCCCACACCCACACCCCATAACCACAGAGATCATCCTCTAGGTGCTGGGAATTTAGCAATGAAAAGAAAAAATGCCTGCCTGCCTTCAAGGAGCTTACATTCTGGAGACAAGAAGGAAATAAACCAAGATAGTTTCAAATAGTGACAATTTTGGAAATGAAAACAGCAGTGAGCTGGACAGTAACAGGGTGGGGCTGTCCTTACACCAGAGCAGCTTCTGTGGGAGATTTGACGTGAACACAAAACTTCTTGAGGGTGCATGTTAGAATGTCCTGTTGAGATGTATCCCCGACGCCCTGGCCGGTTTGGCTCAGCGGTTGGAGCGTCGGCCTGCGGTACAGAGAGATGTATCCCCGTGGCGTCTGTTCGTCATAAAAAAGAACGATTTCCATATAATTGATGCTGATTGGTGGCCAGTGTCTGCGAGTCGCCTGCACGGTACTAGCTCGGGTGCTGCGCAGCGAGTAGGGCAGCTTGTACATCGTCTCACTCACGTGACTCTGCTGAGGACATGACTGCATTGTCACCACGCTGACAACCCAGTTCCCTCCGCGAGGCGGTCTGATAGTCCTGCATATATGAGATCTGGTGGCCTGATTCCGTTCCCGGTCCAGCAGAGAACTGAGCGAGGTGTGCGTGCAGGTGTGGAGTGTGACAGCACTGCGTCCGTGTCCACTCTGTTGATTTCTTCCTTCTCTGACCTACAGAATCTCCGTGGGAAGCACGAGTTCCCTCCGACAGAGGACGCTCTGCAGCACGTAGGGAAGACTGTGGAACCCTGAGATGATGTGATTCGATAAGTTTGGTTAAATGGGTTTTGGAATAAGTGTATTTTTAAGCTTCCAAGATAATTACTGCTGACACATACATTTAGTGCATTTTCACGGCCACTGTGAGTCCCTTAGAGGCGCTGTCCCCGTCCTCACCAGGAAGAGGGGCCTACCGTGCTCCGGTGAAGTGCTTGCGTTTCTGTTCTCATCTTCCTATCGAAGTTGCAAACAGAATCGTAGATGGTGGCGATCGTATTGTAAACTCAATGCACACGTTTATCACCCAGATTTAAAGTACTTCGCTTTAAATGGCCACTATATTGCTTACATTCATTTAATAATGATTTAGTTAGAAATAAGTTGTTTTATGTTAGGTTAGAGTATAAATTGGAACAGTTTTCAAAGTCTAATTTTTCTGCCTTATAACAAATTTCTTCGATTTCTTTTTTAAAGTAATATACTGTTCAAAATTGCAGTTTTACTAATAGTAAGATGGACATTGTAAGTATGCATTTTCTTCAAATATTTAGAGTATTTAATATTTAGTTGGTATCACTTGATTAAAAGTTACTCTTTTAACATTTGTGTTTGAGGTATTTATTTAATTTAATAAAGGCGGAATTGACAATACCACTGTAAATGTAATACTTGTTGCCGGCTGGACGGCATTTTCCTGTGGAAATAATTGGCCAGGTTTCTCTGGGATGCACATGCATGGTAAGTCTGCACCTCCAACTGGGGGCTTTAGGTTTTCCTTTCTAATGGAGGTTTTTGTTTCATTTCACATATTAATTTTTCTTTAGTAATAACCAGATCCATCCTAAATGGGGATTGGGCTCCAGAATGTAAAAAAAAAAAAAAAAATGTTAAAATGCTATTAAAAACGAGTCTCATTGGTTTTGCCATAAGCCAAATTTCTACAATCCTAGAATTGTGGAGATTTTCCCTACATGTTCAGTTATATGGTTATTTCTATTTAAAGGCTACGTTAAGAGTTAGCGTTGAATCAAGTTGAAACATGGACTAACATTACTTTCAACGTGGACTAGCAAAGTGTCAGATCATTTTAAAATACATTATTGCTCAAAACCGGCTTTCTCTCGTACCATTACTGGGACACCAAAGAGCACTCGCACAATATCAACTAGAATATACACATAATTGTGTTTGGAGATAACGAGAGACCTGGAACTAAGACTGTCACCAAACCAGAGTGGAACTGAATGTTCCCAGTCGGCTCTGCCCGAATGCTCACGTTAATTCTGAGCAAAGGAGATGGTGTCCAACCAAGCAGCTCAGTGTAACGGGTTCGTTTCTTTACGTAAACAGTTCTGCAGCCAGTGTCCCTTCCATAGATATTGACCTGACTGCTTTTTCACTACTGATCATTGCTACTTATTGTCAAGTTATTTACATGGCCCATAGTAAAATGTGTGTTAGATCTTGTGGTCAGCAGAATAAAGGTCCTCCAGGCTGTCCTGTCCTCACCCTCCAGACCTGTGAATGTGTCACGTGTGAAAGGGTATTACGTTTGCAGAAACTGCAGCTGTAAGAAAGAAAGAAAGATCTCTTATCCTTTGAGACGACATGGAGGGACCTGGAAAGTATTATCCTAAGTGAAACAAGCCAAACAGAAAGACAAATACCACATGATCTCACTCATTTATGGAATATAATGAACATAACAGTCTGAGGAACAGGGTAGACCCAGACACATGGAAGTAGGGTACAGACTGACAACCCTCAGAAGGGGGGGTGGGGGGAGGGAAGAGATAAACCACAGAACTTATATGCATGTAGGCATAACTGATGGATGCGGACAACAAAGCCGGGGATGGGGTGGGGGTGGGGGGAATGGGGAGGAGGGTGTCAGTGGGGTAAAAAAGGAGAAACATTTGTAACAAAAATAAAATTAAAAAAAAAAAAGTTTGCAGAAGCAAGTAAGGGTACCAATCAGCTGACCTTGAAACCGGAAGACGACCCTGGATTACCTGGGCAGACAGGAGAGAGAACCAGAGAAGTGTCCTTTCGAGAAGGACTCTACCCTTTGTTGCTGGCTTGGAGATGGAGGAGGGGGCGAGAACCGAGGAGTGAGGGTGGCCTCGAGACACTGGAAAAAGAAGGGACAGCTTGTTCCCTGGAGCCGACCTCTCGGCTGTGACTTGGTAAAACCTGTCAAATTCCTGACCTGCAGATGTGCAGTGAGTCTGTGTGTGTGTGTGTGTAAGCCACCAGCCTGTGGCGCTGTGTTACATCAGCAGTCGAGAGCTAACACAGCTATGATTTCTAGCTCTAGAAAACTGTCAGGGACAACGTAAGGCTGACAGGTTCTGTGTATTTGTGCCGGAATCTTTACTTTTCGGGGACAGAAGTTATGTAGGGGCTGTAAGTGTTATATAAACCCCATGGAACTGTATCTTAATAACATCATGGTGGTCAGGGCTGACTGTCATAGTCTACTGACAGGTCAGAGAATGTCATCATCATGTATATTGTGAACATGATTGCTGTAAGTGACTGCTTTTACTGCTGGGAAGCCAAGAGCCAAACGTGTGGTTCATTTCTAACCGTGTAGTCAGAAGACATGCTCTGAAGCCAGCATCTGGGCTCCCACTCCTGCCCCGACCTCCCTGGCTGCGCTCGGGCGTCTGGTGTGCCACGTGGAGAGGACCTGCCCCAGGCACGGAGGGAAGCCGAGCATGCCCAGTCCCTGCTGGAGAGCAGGGCCGCCGTCAAGGCGCAGCCGCTGGCGCGTCCCCGAGCCCTGCAGTGCGCAGTGCCTCCTGCTGTCTGTCTGCGCTCTACTGTTCAGATTGTTTTTCTCTTCGAAGAATGTCTACAACCTGCCTTGATGTTTCTGGAATGAAGCAGGCCATAAATTAGTGTGTTAGGGAACTGCTGATGACAAATGATAAAAACACAAACTAGCTGAAGCCCAAAAAAGGGAAAAGTAACCTACGTGGTTGACAGCTCCAGATACCGATAAACATGCACACGCAGACGTGCATACACACGCACACAGGCAGACATACACACTGAGTAATTCGGATTATTTAGCAATAATTTTAAACTTACAGGAAAGTTGCAGAGAGTTCATGAAAGCCCTTCATCAGCCTCCCCGAAGTTAATTCACATAACCGTGGTCAGGTCACAAACAGCAGGAAATGAACGTAGCTGCCGTCGCTGGCCACAGATCTCATCAAATCTCACCCTTCCCCGCTCTCCCTTCATCCAGCTCCAGGCCAGTCCCACAATGCACTCGGGACCGTTCCTGCCGCGGTCTGCCATTCCCCGTGTTCTCCGGTCTCGTGCGCACCGTCGGCCACTTTGTAGAACGCCTCTGGACTTCCACTTACCGACTGTTTTCTGATGAGATGGGAGTGATGTGTCTCCTTGGCGAGGGTGCCAAGGGGTGCGGTGTCCTCAGCACGTCCTGTCCCGGGCACGTGCCCCGTCTCCTCTGGGTGATGCCGTCTCAGCACCGGCCGAGGTGGCCTCTGCCCTGCAGCGCTGCTGTCCCCCAGCTGAGAGCTTGCTGGTGTGCAGGTGTCTGCTCCTCCTGAGCTCACGCGTGCTTTTAGCATCTTGCCTAAAATAACTGTTTTTGTGGTGTTTTTCCAATGGTGATGTCTCTTCCTTCCCTCTACATGTATTAGAATTTTCCTTTAAGGAAAAGCTGTCTCTTCTTCCCTGTTTGTTTATTCAGTTGTAGCAGTATGGACTCACTGATGCTCATCAACTGCTCTGTGAGCTAAAATACGATCCTGTCATTGCTTATTTTGTTGCTTCAATCATTCCAGCTTTAGCCACTGGGAACACCTTCTGGTTGGGTTCTGTGTTGTGAGTCACCATCCTCTGTCAAGTACTTGACTTTATTTTTTTACCTCACAGGATATTTTGGGCTCATCTTCTGCATTTCCTGCCCAAGCCCTGGAATCAGTCACGTCAACAGCTGTTTGCTTTTATTGGAGAGTTCTACTTAGAAACCAGATTGGGTCAGTAGATGTGCTCATTGGGTTGGTCGTAGGCCCTTGGAGCAGACTGCTCGGAGGTCGGTGTATCTGGTACCTCGTGCAGCTGGCGCACTTGTGTCTGTCCATTCGTCCCATCATCTCGTGCACACGGCCTTCACAGCACTGCCCGGCCACGCCGGCGAGGACACTGGCCCCTGGAGTGTGCCCTTGCAGCCGGGTTCCTGTCTCGAGCCTCACAGTGTGCAGTCGGGAGAGTCTCTGAACTGACTTCGGTTGTGTCTTCGTTCCCGACCCCCTCGGTGTGGTTGTTAGGCATTTATAGCAGAGTGTCTCGGGGTGGTGGGGAGGGTGTTCAGTTCAGGTGCAGTCTCGCCTCCTGGTTCCCCGCAGTAGCTCTGGATAGACTTGACTTTTATTAATTTCGGTGATGTTGGGACATTTCGAAATGACTTTCCTGTCTAGGATGTTAAGGAACCTTTCTGGTGGTGGTTCCGCATCATCCTCGGCCCCTCGGCCTCCACTCCGGCCCTGTCTTCTCAGCCTGCCTCTGCTCGCTGCTGCAGCGGGCGGGCTCGTGAGCCGGTGAGAGCTGCCCCGGCGCGTCACTGTGCAGTTACAAATCTCACCAAGTGATGCTGAGGGCGCTCTGTGGCGGACGTGCTGCCCACGGGCTCTGGTTCTGGAGACGGCGCCCTGGGAAGTGGGACGGTCCCTCGAGCGGAGTCCAGGCGTCGTCGTTTCCACGGGCTCCTCGCGTTGGGGACAGCGTGAGGAAGCCGAGTGCTCCGGGGCTCCTGCCGCTTGGCTGCGTGGTTGCCACCCCCTGGACCACGCACGCGCTCACGGAGCTGAGTGCCCACGTGTATACGCCTGCTCTCTTCGTACCCAGTAGGGTTGGTCATGGATGATGCCTGAGGTTTAACCTCGGAACAGCCAGCAAATTCCTGAAGCTGCCTAGAGGACACCTGATGTGTTTGCCTTCGAGACTCAGAGATTTGCTCTTCTTACCTGGTCCCCACTGTTGCTGGGGAGCTCGGTCCGTTTCCCTTGGTTCCCCTGTGAGGACGGTGCTCTTACCCCTCTGGCTGCCTTCAGGTGTCCTCTCGATGACTGGGTGTGAGCAGTTTGACTGTGATGCTCCTCATCTTTTTCTTTTTCGTGACTTGTTCTTGGGGTTTGTCGGCCTTCTCGAGCGTATAGGTTTAGGGAACAGTTTTTACACAGTAGTTCACACACTTCGGCCTGACAAGACTCCAGTCACATGTCTGTCAGGCGCTTGAAGTTGGCTTGAAGGTCTCTGGCATTCTGTTCTTTACTTTTCAAAGTCTTTGTTTGGGGATCATTAGATCTTGTCAGTTCTTGCTTTTAAGCTTTGTTGGGCATCCCGGGGCAAACCTCTCCAGTTTTCCCAACTACAAAGGCAGCACCCTCCTAATTACTGTCAGATGTTCTGATTATCTCAGGGTTCTTTCTGCTGCGTTTGGTGAGAACTGGAGCCGCTCCCAGCGCTCAGCTCTTTGGGATTCTTCCAACCTGCTCCTTCCCAGCGGTTCTTGCCCTGCCTGGAGAGAGTCCTCTCCTGGGTGTGCAGGGCTGAGGCGCAGGGGCCCCCTCTCCAGCCCCCTGCAGCCCTGCCGGCGCCCGCTGGCTCCTCAGCTCCAGGGCCCTGGTACCTCGCTGTGGGATCCTGCTGCCCTGCCGGGCTCTGCTCCGGCACACCTGCTTCATGGGTGCCGTCCGGTTCTGTGGTTTCAGGGAGGAGGGTAGCCCTGGCCGGTCTGGCTCAGCTGTTGGCGTGTGAGCACACGGGCCAGAGAGTCTCGGGTTTGATTCCGATCAAGGGCATGTACCTCGGTTTCGGTTCAGTCCCCCTCCCTGGTTGGATTCGTGCTGGAGGCAACCAGTCAATGTCTGTCGTGCTCACATCGATGTCTGTCTCTCTCCCTCCCCCTCCCTCCCCCTCTATCTGAAGATAAATGGAAAAATATCCTCAAGTGAGGATTTAAAAAGTGGTGGGGGTGGTGGTAAATCCAGTCCCTATTACTTCATGGTGGGTGGAAGCAAAAGCCTTCTAAGTTAGAGTTGTTAGTAGTGTTGACCAGCCCTTGCTGACTCGCCTAGATTGTGTCTTTAGCCCTACTGTGCACGCAGTGAATAAAGCATTTGTCCATGTTCTCTCCTCTTCCGCTGTCGAACCCACTGTCCGTATGCAAGGAGGTGTCGGGGAGAGCAACGATTTTCCGTGCTGCCTATTACCAGTTAGACACATCGGACAGGATGGAGCCGGGGCTAAGATGTCAATTCCTGTGATGGTGTCAGAGCTAGGGGGGCAGGTGTTCGAGTTTGCCTCACTTTCCTACCTTTGCAGAAGGGGGCCCGTCATTACTCCCGGGGACTCTTACCCAGGCCCTGGGTGCAGGTATGAAAACTGTTAGGGGAGAGAGCACCCAGTGTGTGCGCCCCCACTTGGGCATTCCCAAGAGAGTTGTGAACTTCCCTTTGTCTTGTGAGAAAAACAGGAGAACTGGCAAAGGGCTCTCCACCAACCTCGCCTCGTGACCGAGCTTCCAAAGGAACATTGCAGATGGCTGGTGCTGAGGGCGAGGGAGCCCCAAGTCCCCGGTGCTGGGGGTGATGGGGACAGGCCCACGCCCAGGGTGGGTGGGTGGTGCAGGCTGCGGGTGGAGGGCGATCTGAGCAGAGACACCTGCTCTTCTCGTCCAGGACTCACAGTGGACCTACCCCAGGCTGGGCTCACTCAGCTCCCCAACCGTGCTGTCCCCATGGGGCATGGTCCCTGCACTGCCCCTTTGCTCTGCCTGCAAGTCCCCCTGTGCCCTCTCTCCCCCAGACCTCAAGGCTTCTCACCCACAGCCAGCCAGGCGAGCCGTGCGTGTTATCACTTGAGATTTGGGGAGGTGCCCCATAAGCTTCACCAGCTAAAGGGCAGGATCTGTGTTGTCTGCCCAGCATGGTCTTGCACACAGTAAGGACTCGAATGTCTGTTACATGAATACAGGGGGGCCAGGCCGCCACCCAGTGGTGTGAAGAGCTCACTGACTGGAGTGTGCGCCCGCCCCGCCATCGGATGCAGACTCTGACTAGGACATTTGCGGCCCCCAGGTCACAGGCATGCTGACCCCGAGTGCCCTGCCAGCCCCTGCCCAGAGTGGATGGGTGGCAGCCTGGCTGTCAGCTGCCTCCTGTTCTCTAAGCTGACGGCAGGGGGCTCTGCTCCCCTTCAGTTAGCTCAGGAGGTGCTCCTTCAACATGCGCTCTGCTGTCCTTTCCAGCCAGAGGTGACCGCTGCGCCCAGGCAGTGGCCGGCCCACTAGTGTGAGCACGAGTCACTCTGGCTCAGTCCTGGAGGGGCTGTCGCAGCTGCCCAGGGCTCCTGCCGCTGGGGTCTGTGTCCGGTCCCACCCGCTTCAGGAACCCTGCTCCCCAGGGCTCTGTCACTGCCGGCGCCCCTCTAAATGAAGACACCCCCCAGGCAGTTCTCCAAGCGGACCCAGAGTGACCGCCTCGCAAGGCAAATCTAAGGCGTCTACGTGGGGTCAGAGTCAGCTCGGGAGGCCGGGAGGCCCCCCCAGCTCCGGCCCCCACCACCACCCTGACCAGACGTCCGGAGGCGCCACCTTCCAGCCGGGCAGAGCCCTGTTCCTCGCCGGCCTGTGCGCCGCCACCCCGCTGGCGTGCCCTCCCCGGCCCGCAGGTCTCGCTGGGCTCCGGGCTTCACTGGCCCTGGGTCCTTGTTCGATATCGAGTCTCCCCAAGTGCCACGCTCGCCCGTCCCCACGGGACACCGGTGTCCGCTCCTTTCTCGCACCGACACCGTGGCCTGGGCCCGGCCGCCGGGTTGAGACCGGTTCAGGAGCACCCGTGCAGCAGCCGCAGTACCCGGCCTCCCCGAGCCCTCAGTGAGGGGGGGCCCCCCCTCCCCCCGTCCCGCAGGACGCCCCCTCGGGCCGGGCCGGCTCGCCCCGCGCTGGGCGGGCGCCTGGGCGGCAGGTGCTGGCCCGCCGGCTCCCCTCGCGGCGCTCACTGCCGCCCCGCCCCGCCCCCCGGGCTTCCGCCCCGGGAGCCGCAGTGGGCCGCCTCCCGCCTCCCGCCTCCCGCCGCCTCCCGCCGCCGCCCGCCGCCTCCCGCCGCCTCCCCCGCCTCCCCCGCCCGGCGCTGCAGCGGCGCAGACCTCGGCGGGGCCGCGGACTCGGCTCTGCGCGCGCCATGGCCCCGGGCCTGCGCGGCCTCTGGCTGCTTCTGGGTGAGTAGGGCCGGTCCCGCGCCCCCACCTGCCCCGCACCCGCCGCCCTCCAGGGGAGGCGAGCGACCGAGTCCCCCGGTGCCCCTCGAGCGTCCCCGCGGCTGGCCGGCCCTCTGGGCGCCGTGGCCGCTCGCGAGAGGCCCTGGGCGCGGGCGGGGTCCAGGGGCTGTGCCGCTCTCTCGGGAAGGGGCAGCGTGGGGCACCGCAGAGGGCAGGACCCCCGAAGGGCACGGGCAGCCAACCCGCACCCCGGGAACCGCTGTGGTGCTCGGGAGTAGAAGTGCCATGCGCAGGGCCCCGACCCCCGGCCCCCCGGCCCGCGCCTCTGCGCCCCCGCACCCCCGCGCCCCCGCACCCCCGCACCCCCTCTCAGCTGCGCGGCGCCCGTGCGCGGGCAGGCGCCGAACCACCGCCCTCTGGAAATTAGCGAAAACCGGGCCCCAACATGCCGCAGTTGCTGACTTGCAGATACACCTCCCGGGACGTCTTTGCAGAAGTGGGGCGGCCGAGCAGGCTTCCCACCGCTCCTTGGGGCGGCCCCGGATTCCAAGGGGGGCCCTGGGGAGCCGGCAGCGCCGCCGGCTTCCTCTGCGGGGACAGCCGCCGCCCAGGGACAGGCCCGGCGCCAGACCCGGCACCAGACCCAGCAAAACAGCGAGAAATTGTCGCCTTAACTTCCCCGTCCACAATCTGCATAAAATGCTGAGCACCCTTTTTAAACACCTTTAGTCGGACTCATGGAGTGTGTATTAGGTACCTTATTTATCTGTTTATTCTTCTACCAAGGATATGTTTCTCAGTCTTTTTACAAAGAGGAAAGGTGGGTGAGAAGCGTGGATGTGAGAGAGGAACATGGTTGGGTTGCCTCCTGGACATGCCCCAGCTGGGGTCAAACCTGCAATAGCCGCGGCTCAGGTGGCCGGGACCGTCCTGTGCACTAAGATTGCTGGTTCCATCCGGTCAGGGCACAGGCCTGGGTTTCCAGCTCCATCCCCAGTAGGGGGCGTGCAAGAGGCAGCTGATGGATGTTTCCCTCTCACATCGATGTTTCTCTCTCTCTCTCTCTCTCTTTTCCTCTCTCTCTAAAAATCAATAAAGACATTTAAAAAACAAAAAATGCAACCTGGAAGTGCACGGGCGACACTCTGGCCACCTGAACTGCACTAGCCGGGGCTCTTGGATAGAACTAAATGAGTAGGCCATTTAAGTGGAAGCATCCAGGAGCCCTGGGAAAGCCCCCACAGCCAGTACTGGTTCTTTGGCCTTTCCCCAGAAAGGGTAGTGTGGGCAGATGCACCCCTGGTACTGGTGAAGGGGTGACGCCTGTGCTGTTTTTGCGCTGGGGGCAATGTGACTTATCCCGGAGATGGCCCCGACACTGGAGGAGATGGGGCGTAAGCCTCACCCAGGAGTGTACTGCGGGAGACTCTCAGCACAACAGTCTCATCGGAAAACGGATCTTGCCACTTAAGAGTTTTGGCTGAAGTTATGTGAAAAGCAAATCTTAAAATAATATTATTCTCTCCTTGTGTTAGGATCCATTTGGCTTTACATGGAACTTACTGTTTTGGTTTCCTAAGAAATGAATATTTCTCTTTAGCAGGGAGCTGGGTTGTGTCCTTTTTTTAAAATCATAAGTAAATGTTTTCTACTGGTGTGCAGAAGCTTCACCCTCAAAAGCATGTGTAAGTAAAACACTGTGTCATAATCACATATAAAGACCTGCCTTGTGCCCTGGCCATGTGGCTCAGTGGTTAGAACCTCAGTCCACAGGCCAAAGAGTCATGGGTTCAATTTCCAGTCAACGGCACATACCTGGGTTGCAGGGGTTCAGTACCCGGCACCGGTTGGGGTCATGCAGGAGGCAACCAATTGATGTGTCTCTCTCACATCGATGTTTCTCTCCCTTTCTCTTCCTCCCTCCCTCCCTCTCTCTCGAAAACAAAAAAAAATCAATGGAAAAAATATCCTCGGCTGAGGATTAAAAAAACCTTGTTGTTTCCCAAGAAAGCGATGCATGTTTTGATGAAAGTACAAAGTCATGTCATCTTAAATTATTCGGAGGGGACTGGCTAATGTTGTGTCTTAGAAAAAATAAACACAACTCTCTGAGGTTATGAGTAAGCTTGTGTCGTTGGAACCCAGCAGGGATTAGTAGAGTACGGAGCACACGGCGTTTTCTTCCCACGCTGTGGCCGTGGCCGTGGCCGTGGCCGTGGCCGTGGCCAGCTCTCCGTGGAGCGGAAACCCACCCGGCCTGGCACTGCAGTTGTTGCCAGTCTGCTGGTTTGTAGGTTCAGGAGCCTGTCCGCAGTGGTTTTGCAGTGAGCTCCTTTCTCGCTCAGTCGGCTTGCTTTGCGCAGGGTTAGGTCGTGAGCATCTCACTGCTCGTATTTCCTTCTGCCTGGGCTCTGTGCAAACTCTGCTCACAGGAGGCCCCTGCAGGGTGACGTGCGTTTCGGAAGTTCGTGTACAGCCCCTGGAAAGTTTGTCATCGATCAGAAGAGAGGAGGTTCCAGACGACCCAGGGTCGTTCTGTGTGACTGCCTTGTAAGCTCCTGGTTTGACGAGCTCTCCGTCACTCAGGAGGGCTGGCCCACGCCGACGCTTGTGACCTCCTCTGTCGTCCGTCCTGGGAAACACGCACCTTTCCCGGGGTCGTGCTGGGGGTGTGGGCTCTCTCGCAAGGCTGCGGTAGTCCCTGCAGTATCTGGCTTGGTCTATACACAAGTGTGACTGTGACCTTCGGGGACATGCCAGGACACGCGCTACACGTGACCGCTTCAGATGGCCACGCGGTCCGAGTCCGAGGCACCCGAGTGCTGGCGCCCAGACCTGGAGGGGTCTCGTTTGCTGGTCGACTCCGTGTGTCTGTCGGCTCTCCCGGGGGGACGTTTCCGGAGCCTGCCCCCCTCCGCAGGTGCAGGCAGGCGGTGTGCATGTGCTCATGCCGGGCCAGGGCCGGCGGGAACGTCCCTGTCGCACGAGGTGGCGGTCGGCCACACGGCTAGGACATGCTCCCTGGGAAAGGCTCTTCCTCCTGACTCCCCCCCAGAATGAACCAGTTCCACAGCCCCGACCCTGTTCATGCTGGCATTGGGCAGGTGGGATGGCGTGGCGTGGATTCCAGCCCCCGAGAGTGGAGCCTGGTGGGTTGGCTGCCAGCATCCCCTCCTTCGGGCACAGAGCCCGGCTTCCCCCTGGCTTGGGGGGCTCTCCCTCGGTGCATGGGCTCTGGCCTGCCACCAGGCTTGTCTCGGAGGGCACAGGACCCAGGCTGCACAGTCTGATTTCTGCTGGAGCTGGGGGCACACTCTCTCTGGGCTCGATCTGCCAGGGCCTGCCCGTGGGCATGGAGGGGCGGGGCACTTGCCTGTGCCCAGACAGAGCCCTCCTGATACCTTTGGAGCCCCAGGTCGAGCCCATGGGGTGGACTGTTCAGCCCTATGACTCCCTGTTGGAGCTGGTGTGTCCCTTGCAGGACAGTGCCTGGTGGTGGCAGGTGCTCATGGGCTCTGAGAAGGGCACACTGTCCTTCCCAAGAGCCTCTTGTTCCACGGGGACTCGGGGAGGTCCCCCTGAAGGAGAAGGGTGAGCAGGGGAGGTGGCCAAGGTGGCTGCCATGGCTTCAACCCACGCCAGGGCTGTGGCACCTACCTCTGCCCTGCAGCTGCTTCCTGGGAGTAAAGAGATGCTCACGGTGCTGACAGCACTCTGCCGTCCTCAGCTGCCACGTCAGAGGTGCCCCCGGGCCCCACTGCCCCACGCAGGCCCCCAGAGGCACGTCCTCCTCTGCAGCCCTCCCTCCAGGCCGGGGCGACCTTGAGCCGGGTGAGCTGCGAGAGAAGTCGGCTGTTCCGGGGAGGAGGCTGTGTCAACACAGCAGGACCGGAGGGCTCGCACCTGAACAAGCACACATTCATTTCGGCATAATGAGGTCATTGTTGTCCACAGAGAGCTTTTGCCCTGAGATTGTCTTCTTCAGTGTTTTCTTTGACATCGAAAGACACCATTTCCATCGTTTAAAGTACCGATCCTGCCCTGGCCGGTGCGGCTTAGTGGTCAGAGCGTCGGCCCGTGTACTGAAGGGTATCGGGTTCGATTCCCGGTCAAGGGCATGTACCTGGGTTGTAGGTTCAGTCCCCGGCCCTGGTCAGGGCACATGTGGGAGGCAACCAATCGATGTGTCTCTCTCACATCAATGTCTCGCTCTCTCTTTCCCCCCTTCCCCACCCCCTCCCTCCCTCCCTTCCACACTCTAAAAATCAGTGGAACAAAGATCTTCGGGTGAGGGTTAACCAAAAATATACAGATCCCGAGTGCTTTGCGGGAGCCGGTCCCACAGAAACACACTGACCGGGACTCCGCAGGGGACCCTGGCCGGGGCCTGAGCCTCACGGCCAAGCCTTTCTTACTCTTCTCGGGGGGCCTCGGCTCCCCGATGGCTCCCTCCCTCCCTGCCGTGTGGGTTCCCAGGGTGGATTGTGTGGGACCAGAGACCAGGACCCTGGCCCGCTCATCTCCCTCCCCACACACCCACTCTGCCCTCTGCCCTCCCCAGTCCCACAGGTCCCTCCGGAAGCCTCCCCTGGCCACCCCACGCACCGCCTTGGGCTGGTGACCCTCTCCTGCACCCCTACCGGTCCCCTCGAAGCCTCCATCACACCACAGTGGCAGTAACCCCCACATGCGCCGTGCTTGAACCCCAGGTCAGCCCACCTCGGGTCCCTCCTGTCAGCAGCTCTAGTTTTCAGGCCACCACGGGGCCGGAAGCAGTGACCCGCCCGTGGCCTGGGCGGCACCCACCCTCCACCCAGGGCTCTGCACCCCACGCCCGCGAGGCTCATTCGGAAGGGCCCTGACCCAGACATGGCCGGGAAGGCGAAAGGGACGCTTGACAAGCGACGATTGCACACTGGTGCCTGCCCGCTGGTCACGTCCAGGGAATGAGCGTCCCTCCCGCGTCACACAGCGGAGCCCACGTCCCGGGGACACGAGGA